TACTTGCTCGGATTCACATTTTATTATTATTTCCATTATTCATTATTTTCAGACCGAATTAAACGTTCAGAAAATCTTGTTTTTGGCCTGAAGATTTTGCCCTATACAACTATAACTGAAAATAATTATAAACTTTGTCACACTATTGGAACAGCCTGTATGTGCATTGCAACGACAATATGTCATATTTATATTACGGCTAAGTAAGCGGAAAGTCCATTGTCGCATATGTAATTTTTATTTTCAAATAATCAAATACAATAACTACATATTTATTTTAATACCTATTATTTACTTGAATTTAGTACTGAGTACAACTATGCATAGCAAATTGTAATACTTACTCTGTTAATGTTTTTTCCTTCATATAAAAAATAGTAAACTCCACAAATAAAATATTTCGCAGCCACAACGCAACAATAAAAGATAACACAGCTCAAAGATCCATACAGGAAATAATTACATTCGCACCTACTCTGGTCCGAATCCGTATAAGTAATAAAATGTAGAAAATAATATGAAATAAAACTTTTAGTTGGCTGCAAATATTATAAATTTGTACAACCACTTGCCATCCTCCTTTTTTGTAAATATGAACATAATAATATGTAGAAGATAGAAAATAGAAATATTTTCAGAACAAAAAACCGGCGGCCGCAAATTGGAGTTTTTATTATTTTATTACCCCTCTCTTTTCATAATATGCAATTATGAGATAGCAAGAGAGTGGGATGGACGTATAGGCCGGAGAACTGATTACCGTGCACGTGTGCGTGCACCTGGCATTTCCTCGTTTTTTTAGGTGTACTTTGCCGGAATTTGAATGAATGAAATTATCGTACTATTTTTACTATAAACGTATTTCCTGTAGCGACATCTATATGAATATTGTAGTACTTTGTTAGATGAAACGGGACTTCAATTTCCGTTCTTAACAATTCAGTCTATTCAACAATTGTTTATTTTAGTAGTGGTAGAGTAGTAGTTTACAAAATCTAAAATTAGCTATTAATAGATAATTAAGTACCATAATCTGTTTATTTTGATTTACTTTTTTAAATGTTAGTTTACAACAAGCT